TTCTATTGCAGGTAGTATATATGTCGGAGCCGACCGGATCGGACAACTATATCTTATAGCTCCCATAGGAAGGATCGGAAGAAAAAAACTTTAAAAAATTCTAGCTTCGGTGTTTTTTGAAATATTACCTTCTACTTTTGGGGATGTTATTTTTTAAATATTTCTGAATTTCGAATTAATTATTTAAAAAATCGGACTACTATATCATATAGCTGCCATAGGAACGATCGGAAAATTAATGGAAAAGTAATAGGAAATAAATTCTAGCTTCTTTGATTTTTATTGTATTATCTTCTACTCTAGGATATGACTCTTTTTAAATATTTCCGAATTTCAATTTTAATTTGATCAAAATCGGACGACTATATCATATAGCTGCCATAGGAACGATCGGAAAATTAATGAGAAATATTAGAAAATTAACATTTTTGCGATTTGTTAATTAATAGGAATGATCTGCAAGGGTATATAAGCTTCGGCTGGCCGAAGCTAGCTTCCTTTCTTGTTTTGTGTTTGTTTTTTTGCTATAACTTGGCCAAAAATGGTCCTACACCAAAAATGAATACTGTTTTGAACAGATAACTAAACAATAAAGAAATCCATAACACTTCCCGGGTGATCCTGCAAAAATAAAATTTTCAATTTTTTTGTAAGGGGGTACCTCATGATTTTTTACTAAAAATGACAAAAAAATAAAATGTCCAGGTTTAAATGCCAATCGATAGGAAATTTAATGACGAGTTCAGAAAGGTATGACACTCCATATGTGATATCAATATTTCCATTGTTTTTGGTAAAAATTTGAATTTTTTCTGTTTGTTTTTTTGCTATAACTTGGCCAAAAATGGTCTTACACCCAAAATACATACTGTTTTGAACAGATAACAAAATAAAGAACAAATCCATGACCCTTTCCGGGTGATCTCAAAAAAATAAAATTTTGGCCAATTTTCCATGTTTCAAAATGTCAAAAAAATAAAATGTCCAGGTTTAACTGCCAAGATGACTTATTTTTTTAATATTATTTGTTCGTTCGCCCTTGTCTTGGCCTTACTGTACTTGCACTTTCTCAGCCCAAAAACCCGCCAAGTGCGACTGACAGGACTGGGAACTCAACCCTTTGGGAACTTCCGCTCAAACGCACGCAGTCCGAAAATGATAGGTTCGTCAATTGGAGACGCATTCGAAATTAAATATTACCATTCCGAAGAGTTGTTAACGAACTTATTAAGAGCAAGGGGAGTGTCAGTGCCAGTGGATAAGTAAGTATATAAATTCGAATGTGAAATATACTCATATTCCCGTAGAATTGCCCCAGAGAGATAGGTACACTTCTCGAGTACATTAAATAATTGCCTTATGAGTGAGGTGGGGGATGGGGTTGAAAAAGTGGGCGGAGTGGGCTGAGGGGGGTGTGGCCTCGGTTCGGGCCATGTCATGTGGCTGGGCCAACCGGCTAATTGAGCAATTAGTGGCTAAAAAGGCAACAATTGAGGCCATTTGCTGGGAAACCTGCGGGGAATTCGTAATGACTGCAAATGAATGGGAGAAGCCTTTTCCAGCGCACCTTAAAGGTCGAGAGAATTTGCCCGGATTTCGGTAGTAGAAACCAATCATATTTGTAACCCTATCAGCCTAATCAAACAGAATTAAAAACTAAAATCGTGGTGACCCCGATTTTTCATCGCTTATCAAAATATTTTCTTTATAACTAAAACTTAATAATAAACCTTTTTTAAATTATGGCAAACTTTAAAATTGATTATTTTTATATTATATTTTAATTAACCAAAAAGGTGACCCCAACCTGCAACCGATATCTGCACCTATTCAAGTTTTAATTCTCTATTAATCTGTACTGAAATTCATAGCCCAAGTTATGTTTATAGGGAGGGGCACGCGACCCCTCAAGCCGTGAAAAATAGAAACCGCAGGATAACAAATGCAATTTGCTTAAATGTTATTGCAGCCACAACAACACACAACAACACAACATTTGTAATCAGAGGTCACAAAAAGAAAATATATATAGACGACGGAGGGAAAGAGCGTTGAAATCGCGTCGACAGTTAATGAGATTAAAACACCCAGCGGGTATCCTTTTGCTTTTCGTCGGTTATCCTGGCCCAGCGGGATATTACCGAATTGCGCAGTGCCAGACCAAAAATTGAGAACTCAAATCGAGAGTTGTGGGTTTTTGAGGAGGAGGAAGAAGTAGGAAGGATGCCGAGGAAAAGTAAAAGGAACCCTGAGGAAAAAATAGGGAATGCCTGGAATCCGCGGCATAAATCACTGCCATAAATTAGTTGGCTTTTAATTACGATTATTATGCTGATAATAGGGCGCATTTAACGCGCGATAAACATAAATAATCGTGTCAAATGCAAACAGATGTCGAAACAACGATGACAACGGAGAGGAGATGCTCCAAACAACTTCAACAACTCCAAATCACGGAGTCTCCATTCAGGCAACGAGTAGAGATTTAAAAGATAATCTTGGATAATTATGAACTAAATAGATTCCCTGTAATATTGGAAATATGTAAGAGATCCTAAAATTTTGTTATAAAAATTAGAATTTAAATTATCATATTTAATGTTAAGCTTATACATTTTCTGTATGAATACATTTTCAAAATCTTTGTTTTAATAAAACCTAATAAAAATGTATAACAATTTAAAACAGAAAAAACTCTTGAAAATTTAATATAATTTATTTTTACTTACAAAAATCGTAGATAAAGTCAGTATTTAATTAATAATAACTAAATAATTTAAGTTACCAGTATTTATTATGTAATTATTATAATTAAAATTATAATCACCATGTTTATTATATTTTTCTAAAATATATATATTAATTTCTTGATAGATCCACAATTTTTTTTACCCAAAGAAAAGTAAGTTTATTAAGCATACCCCATTTTATTGATTTATTTACAGGGTATGCAAATATTTTCTGTGCGCGCTTCATTTTTTTGCTTAATGAAAACAATGTGTGAACAAGATTTGTGAACGGGGGCTGTCGGGGGCGTGGCAACCATTAAAAGATTCTCGGGATGCCTTCAGCATCTCGCCGTTGACACTTTCTTGGGGTTTTCGTGTGTGTTTTGGGGTTTGGAGATTTGAAGATTTGGGGACTGGGAACTGGGAACTGGGAATGGGAATGGGGAATGGTTGAATAATGGGCATCTCTCGCTTGTGGCGCCTAACTCGGTTCAAATGTGTGAAAATCATATTTTAATTAAAGTTTGCTGCTAATGATTTTGTCAGCGCCGCCGAGTCGCTCGTTTATCATCGTCTCAACTGCAGATCCACCTTCTGATTTCTCTTCTGATTTATGCAGTGTTATTCTCGGCTCCTTTTCCCTTTTTTACTTATATAACATATATATATATATATTTACAGCCAGCCCATGTCCTTTGCAAGCCGATGCCAAACGCATGTCCTGTCCTTTGTTTTATCTCTTTTTTCACATCCCCTCCCTTTGTGTTTGTATTTTTCATTATTTTAATTTACAACTTGCTCTGGCACTCTTTTGAAATCCGAATCCTGCTGGGGGAGTGGGCGGAGGGAGATGGGGAGGGGGTGAGGAGCGCAGCGGGATGCGGCTACCATGTGACACACAATACCCAGAAAACAGGAGTCAAGGATTCCGAAGAGAGAGAGTTACCGCACTTGAGATTCCTTCGAGGAACACTTACTTTAAATTGCCTTTGATTTACGCCACAAATGCAAAGACTTTTGGGAAATTCCCAGATATTATATTAAAGATGTCATTTTTATTTTAATTAAAAATAATCTGAAAACTATTTAAGAAGCTGGAAAATAAGAAATCATTAGATACAAAACCTTTTTTAAATGTTTAAGATTTATTTAAGACCGTTTGACAGCATTTAAACATTGTTTGTCGAATTTGTATTTATATTTCGAAATTGAATTCCTGCAAAATGATTTAATTATTAGAATTAGAATTAGAACTCCAAAAAAGTATTTTAATAAATAGATAAAATACTTAAAAGGCTCATAAATGTTAGAATTTCAATTTTTTGTTCACAATTTAAAATTTAAATTCACAATTTTTGAAAAATATATTAAAATCTTTATGATTTTGTTAAAAATTTGTTTATTTTCTGACCTCAAAATTGTTAAAATAATTTTAAACAAGGCAATAAACTTTGAATTGAAAAACATATTTCTTCCACCATTTATTTGTGTTATTGAATTGAATTATTGATAAGTTTTTAATATTATTATTGCTATTTTTTCTCCAATTTTCTGTTATAAATGAAACTACAGCTATGAGTGCAAACGAGTATCATTGCGGCATCCAATTCTTTACGACTCTTTACGACGCTTTAAGTGAGCAGCGAGGGCTTTCCATTAATTCTCCCCAAATGCAGAGAGTCCTTGGGCAGGTCCTTATTCATTTGAATCTTGAATTCATTGCCCTGGCAAATTGTTTTTGCCCCCCGGGCGACCACACCCCCATGCCGGGGATGTCAAAACACCAGCGGGAAAAATAACTGCGCAGCTTAATCCACTCCAGAAAATCGAAGGAAAAAAATCCAGAAGCCAAACAAAAGGGGATGATGGGAAGGATAGAAACAATCTGCACCCACTTGACGGGCAATCTGTTCCAGAGGATTGCTTTGCTTTGCGAGGGTTCCTTTGGCCACGGTAATAAAATTTAAATCACCCACACACGTCAGGATATCAGGACATCGGGGTCAGGACCTTTTAGCACCCCGCCGAATCCTTCGGTCGAGATTGAGAGCGTTAAAAGTCGTTAACGACCAGATGAATTTTGGCATGGTTGTGCGGAAGTCCATTCGGCAGTCATCCCCAAATGGAAATCCACCCCAAAATCAGATAAACATATTTTACGCTTACTTACAGATACAAAGATTGATTTACCAAATTGATTTAGCCCCCAAAAACCCCCTCATTTTTTTGTAAATGATTTGGAAACTCTCGCGTTTTGTTGTACATTTATTTTGAATGAAATTTAAATAGTTTATTCGTATTTTAAATAATTAATTTACATAGACAAAAAAAAGTAATCGAAGATGATAAATTGCGGATCCTTTTCTTTATTTTCTGTGCTTTGTTTTTTATGCTTTTTCATTTTGTTTTGTTTTGTTTTGTGTGTGCTAAGTATCTAAGTATCTCTGCTCTAAGCCTAGGTTCAAATAAAACAACAAAAACACATTTAGTTTAGCTTTTCTTTTCGTTTTTCTTTTTCTTTTCTTAGTTGGGATCGATTAAAGCACTAGCGTCTAAGATATCCTCGCTGGATCCTCGTCCTCGTCCGTTGGGCTTAGCAAAAATAATTGAGGGACATGTGCTAATTTACAGAGGGCCGCGAGTTCGAATACCACACACCCCTGTGTTACGTTTTTTTTATTTTGCTTTGTTTTTTACAATTTTGGTTCGCTCACACTTCATAATTGGACTAGAAATATATTTATGATGCTTAACCCTCCGCTCTCTCTCTCTTTCGATATTTATAATAATATATTTTAGGTGTTTTTTTCGTTTTTAGAATTGCATAATTGTTTTTCTTCTTTTTTTCATGGTGCTCGAAGCTTGTCTCTTGGTTAATTTCGTTTATATATATATATATATATTTATGCTTAGGGGCTATGAAAAAAATTACATATCCATAGGGCTAGTAAAAAAAAATAAAAAAAAAAACACACACTCGCTCTCTAGATGTTCTAGATATTCTAGAAAAAATGGCTTAGTTCCTAGCAATAGGCTATAAGCAATAGATATTTAGTGCTGTGATTAGCTGTTCGATAGACACGCATATTTATGAATATTTACAGACATCTGCTGGCTATATGTACAACCGCAAGATAGCTAGTTTCGAAATGATATAGGGTTTTCTATTATATATTTATAATTAGATTTTGTAATGGGAACCCTTCGCTTAGTTGGTGAACAGGAAGGGTCCCAGCGATCCTCAAACCATGGGTGGCTTTATGTCCACCAGGGAGCTGGGATCCAAACCGGGCGAACCACCGGTGGCCAGGTGGTGCGAGTGGTGGGCATGGTGGTGCAGGTGGTGGGCATGATGCTGCTGCTGCTGCTGTTGCTGACCGAATTGCTGATGGTGGTGTTGCTGCTGCTGTTGCAGGTGCTGCTGCTGTTGCAGATGTTGCTGCTGCTGCTGGTGGTGTTGCTGCTGTTGCTGCTGCTGTTGCTGCTGCTGCTGCTGTTGCTGCTGTTGCTGGTGTAGCATCACCGGCGAACCGCCCGCGGCGACCATTTGGTGCGGCGTGGCCAGGTGCAGACCGCCGCCCAGCAGGCTGCTGGACGTGCCATTGGCGCTGTGCGCGTGCAGCGAGGTCGGGGTGCCGGGATGGCTGCCTCCGCCGGAACCGGAAACGGAATTCGAGTTGGTTGAATTGGCATTGCTGCTGCTCCCGGAGGAGCTGCCACTACCACTACCACCCGTTACCGTTCCCGAACCGCCGGAGACGCCACCCCCGCCGCCGCCGGCCCCGCCCGTCTGAGGGCCACTGCCCACGCCGCCCAGCCCGTTGGACTCGCCCGACTGGTTGGCGGCCTCCTCCGAATCGCTGCACGACTCGGAGGAGCCCTTCTTCAGGCCACCACCGTGTCCATTATGGCTGGACTGATGGCCCGAGGAGGTGCCATTGCCATTGTGCGTCTTCACGTGCTTGGCCAAATGGTCGCTGCGCATGAAGCGCTTGTTGCACACGGGGCAAGCGAAGCGCTTCTCGCCGGTATGCGTCCTCAAGTGCCGTTGCAGCTCGTCGGAGCGCGTGAAGCGCTTGCCGCAGAACAGCCAGTTGCACACAAAGGGACGCTCGCCGGTGTGCCACCTCAGATGGGCCTTCAGATGGGAGGTTTTCCCGTAGACCTTGCCACAACCAGGTATGTGGCACGAATGGATGTTCTTCTTGCGCAGATGAACGCCAGCGGGACCGAGTCTCTCGGCCTCCTGGCAATTGGGGCAATCACAGGTGGCCCTTCCAGCATAGCGTCGCTGCGAACGCGGCGAGGGTGTCGAAGGTGAGCCACCCTGGGGTGAACCTGCTGCTGCCGCCGCTGTGGCCGCTGCCGCCGCCGCCGCCGCCGAGGGAGAACTGTGCGGCAGGGAGAAGCCACCCATTCCCACGCCCACTCCTACTCCTACTCCCACGCCAACTCCCTGACCCGGCAACATGCTCTTGTAGGTGTCCTGCAGGAGGTGCTGTCCCGATCCCAGGAGCGAGTGACTCAGCGCCGAGCTGTAGTTCTCGCTGGCATAGTTGGCCATCGTGGAGTGCATGCCGGCACCGCCCATGTCCAGCCAGGAGCCGGCGGCACTGTGCATGTCCCACCAGCCGGAATTCACCGAGGCCGCCTCCTTGTGGGTCACCGCATTGAAGGGCCAGTCGTAGGGATGCCTGGAGTAGACGCCTCCGAAGGCAGCGGCACCCGCTGCCTCCACTTTCCCGAGGAGACCCTGGTGCATGTGATGGTTGTCCATGTTCGAGGTGGAGGTGTTCGGGAAGTACAGGTCACCGCCGTAGGCAGCCGCAGCCACGGCCGCCGAGGAGGATGACTGCGATCCGGAGGCGGCGGAGGAGGAGGAGGAGGAGCCGCCGGAGGAGCCGCCGGAGGAGCCACCGGAGGAGCCACCGCCACCACCACCGCCCACGGCCGCGCAGGAGGAGGCCAGGGGGCGACTGTAAGGATAGATGCTGAAATTACTCGCGAGTCGTAGAGGTTATAGCTGCTGCGGCCGATCACGCACAGCGATCCACGGGGATTCTTTAAGGAGTAGAAGGGGTGGATTCGGAATCTATCTAGCTAATTTAGCCTAAATAGCCTTTAATTTAGCTAATCTAGCCTTTTATCTAGTCTTTTATATAGCTAATCTAAATCTTAATAAATTTAATTTTTATTTTCTGATTTTGAATTTTTCCAAATAATATCTTTATTTTATGTTACGTCCCTGATAAATCAATTTTATTACTGGAAACCTTTTGTAATTAATTAAAGAGATTTTAGACTTTACATTTAGAATTCCTTTTACTTTAAAATATTACAATGAACTGCTTTTAGTTATTTAAGTCAGCCCTAATAATTTATTTGTAATATAAATTTATTTTCCCATCATAATAATGTTAATAATGTATCATAATATAGTTATTCAACTCATTTTCTATCAACATTTTGTAAGAAATACCTTTTTTTTATAATATTACTAAGTAGCATAAATTTTCTTTGCTAAATAAATAACTAAAAATTTTTTCCCTCTCGATAAGCTATGTTAAAAGCAATTTAGATAAATATAATTCTTATGTCTTCCTAAACTAAATTAAAAGATTTTATAAAGAGGTCCCTTAAAATGCCAGATAATCACCATCCACCCACTTCCCCCTGGGGAATCCCTTCGAGGATCGCTGTGCGCCGCCTGCCTGCTTACCTAGCTGTGATGTTCACCATGGTGCTGGCGCTGGCGGAGAGGCTCCTGGAGGAGTGGCCGCCGCTCGATCCGCTGGAGCTCGACGAGCTGGCCGCCGAGATGGCGCAGGGCGAGTGCTGGCCGGCGCTGCTTCCTCCGCCGCCGCCTCCTCCTCCGCCAGAGGATCCTCCACTGGAGCCCGCTGCCGGGGAATTGGGACTCTTCTTCCACGGATGGAAGCCCTTGCCCACAGCGGCGTCGGCCAGCGGGGGTGGCGATTTGTTGGATAGCTTGTTGCACTGGGCGGCCAACATGGCCAGCGGAGTTCCCCTCAAACTGGGATGGTCCTGTCAAAGGAAAAAAAGAGATAAAAGCTCAATTAAAATTATGGAAAATATATTTAAAAAATATATTATTATATCTATTATTAAATATTTTATAAAAAATATTGCACTTTATAAATAAATTCTTCTTTAATATTCCCATCCTGAATATTAACCCTTTCAACCCCACACACAATTCTAGTAAATATTTCCCATGGGAATGCTTGCATTTCTTAATTAACTGCCGTTCGCGCGAATTTGCAAATTACTTAAATGCGAATTAGTCGAGCTCAATTTCGCTTCCTGCCCGCTCGATTTTGCTTTGTTTCTTCGGCCAACGGTTTCTAATGTCTGCCAAGAGGGCAGCCGCAGAACAGCAACCCACAAAATTAATTCGCCACGTAAATCAAAACTGAAATTCCCTTTTAGCGCTGCGAATGAGCCGCGTTTTTACGCTCCCTGGCGTTCTGTGGATACCCTGTCGGGTGCCAAAGGGTTAAATAAACTGGAACAAGATTTTAAAGTCACTAAAAAAATGTTAAGTTACAAATAGAAATTGATACTATATTAAATACATTATACAATCAAGGAAAATAATTTTTAAACTATAAAAAAAATATTTCTTTTTTATATCCCCTAAAAAAAAATTACTAAATAAAAGACTGAATTTTAAGACTGAAATATAAATTTATTTTATACATTTATTATATAAAAAAGCAACCTATTATTTTTTTCCAAAACATATTTAAGCATTTATTTTACCAGCGTATCACCCATTCGACTTAGAAACCGATAACCTTTTACCACAGACATTTATAATCGAGCGCTGCGTTTTTCGGGAGGAAGTCATTAAAAGTCGGCTCGGTTTTGGGTTTTTAGTCTTTGGTTTGGGGATTCCTTGTTGCCCCTTGGCCTTGGCCAAAACTAATTTTCAATTCCGCTTTTTGTCTAGCGGCACTTTGCCTCGGCACTTGTATTTTCTCCTTTTCTCACTCGAAATTGCTGCCTGATTGACGAAGGTCGAGGATTTCTCTAGAGAGAGGGGCGAGGAAGCGAAGGATTCTCCAAGCCAATCTGTGGTCCTTTTGATCCTCGTCAAACACATTTCATGCCTGCCAGCTGCTTGAGTTGCCGCAACAACAACAACTTGGTAGACAAAAAAAAAATAAAAACAACCAAGAGTCACGGCAACAACAACGACAGAATTGTCAACAACAAGTTGAACAACTTTGGCAATACGGTAAAAGTTGTTCAATCAAGCGCTGCAAAATATATACACACGTCTATACACTGATCCGAAATTGATCTGCCATCAATCGATTACCGCGGAAATGAGTCAATTCGAATTTTCTCATTTGCACTAATTGCAGGTTGTTTTTAAAACTGCCTTTTATTTATTTATATTTATTTTATTTATTGGGGGCAAGAATTTATTAAAAGACAGCAAAAATATCTGCTATTTATTTAAGATAGAAAAATTTAAAAGTAATTGTAAGCCAATAAATATTATAAAACATTTAAATAAATATTCACTTATTAAAATTTAAAAAATATTCCAATTAAAAGATTTTTAATACAATCTATTCTTATTAAATTAATAAAAATTTTTTCTGGAATTGAATAGATTTTTGTTCAGTTTTTTAATTATGTTTTAAATATTTCCCAAATAGTCTTGATTAATTTTATTTAATTTCTGTTGTAGCCATTATTTGTCTGAGTGTATTTTGGGCATTGCCCAGTAGTCGTGGCCTCGTCGAGTTGTCCAAAAAAATTAAGTTAATAGTTTACTGACTCGACTCGAGTCGGCCGATTTACAGTTGCCTAGTTTCGAGCTTTTACCGTTTTTTTTATTCGGAGGGGGTGGTGCAGTGGTGCAGTTTTGCAGTTTGTGCAGTGGTTTTATGGTGTTTCAGTGGATTGCTTTGGCAACCGGCAATCAGGCGAGGAGATCGGGATCAGAGAGCCTCCGCGGAAGCTGCTATTTCGGCCAGTAATTGGCCACTCCAGAAATTGAGAGCTGTGCTATGTGGGGAGTTCCCCTCTAAACAACCGCCCACCTATCCTATACCCATACCCATACCATTTCCTTGGTTTCCGTGAATCTGTTTTTTTGTGGCACGTTTATGTCGCTGCCGTTTTTTGTTTTTCAATTGCAAGTCTCTGCTCATCTCCTCCATTGGACAGGTGCTTTGGCAGCCTAATGACATCACCCATTCAAATCGTGAGCTTTCTGGATCGCATCTCTCTCTCTCTTTGGATCTTAGGATCCCTGGATCTCGGGATATCCAGCCACCGAACTACTTTGGCCTCTGAGTCGAGGGAAAAACACAGAGCCAAAAAAAGCACACACTTAATTGGAGCAATTTCAACGTCGTGCAACTGCGCGTATGAGTAATGGCCGTTGTGCCTGTGTGTGTTTGTGTGTGTTGGATAAATTATACAAAATGATATCGGGGCAGGCAAGTCAGTCAGTTAGTTAGTCAGTTGGTCAGCTAGTCAGTCAGTCAGGAGAGTCTGGGGCAAATTAAAATGCAACTCGATTTGATTAATCGATCAGACTTTTTTGATTGACGGGGTGTATTAAAGGGGTATAAAAAAAAGGTTTTGGGTCAAACGATGATGTGTATTATATTATTATTATTATTTTCGAATTCATGATTTTTTTTTAGATTTTTATGTCAAGCCTTTCTTGGTGATTTTTGCTACTTCCCTTTTTTTGTCAAGATTTTTATATAGTAATTTAGATTTATTTTATGAGAAAACTAAATTTTGATATTTTTAAAAACTAATTATTCCATAAATTAATCTTGTTAAAAATCATCCTTAAATAACGCCGAAAATGAAGTCATGAAAAATCATTAATTGAAATCCTCCTTTGATTATCTTAAACTGATTTCCTTCTTCCCTTTTTTTTTATTTCTTGGCCACCTTAGGAGGTCTTGCAGTTGGCCTAATTAAAAGAGTCGAATGTCATTTGCCGCAGGTGAGAAAGGGACAGGGGAATATCTTCAAAAGGCGCGAGCTAAACAAATTTGGTCGGCACAGCGGGTTTATATTCCCAACTACCCATTCCCAAGTTCCCATTTCGGATTCCGTTTCGGATTCCGATTCCCCCGGTTGAATTCACAGCGGGCGCTATCAGCAAATGGCGCTGCAGGTTCCTCACCTTTTATCTACCTCAGCTCCCGTCTCTATGCCCCGTCTCTTTCGCACATATATCATGCCATCTCTTTCCCTCTTTCTCGGCAACAAGTTGGGCACATCAATCGGAGGCGGTGTCATAATTTTCACAGCAGGTGTCGTCGCTAATGATTTACAATGAGCCAGGGAAAAATGGGTAGAATCGGAGAATTGGAGAAAGAGAGAGATGCACTTTGTTGCATCGCCGTGTCGGCAAACAACAATAAAAATGTGAAAAATCTAAATTCGTTGTGGTCGACGTCGCTTAACGTTTGAAGATTCCGATTCCTATTCGTATTCCTATTCCGATTCCAGAGACCAATTCATTATTCATCAGTTTGCATTGTATGGGCTATATATACCATAGGTAGAATCGTGGGGCGTTGCAGTGGCTAATTTGCCGCTGGGATCGATGGGTTTTTGGGCCCGAAGAAGAAGAGGATAGAAGGCGACTGGCGCCAAGTGGCGCCCCCTAGGGTGCCGGAGTGCCAAACAAATTGTTAGCCTTTGTGATCCGATTCGATTTGGAGTCGGTGGATCAAGGCGGATCTGAATGCCATATATTTTCCTCATCTGCATTGCAAATTGTTGATCTAGTTCGAGTGGGAAGTTATTGGTTTCAAAAGAATATGATATGTTAGGTATATTTATATTAGTATCCCAATTCTTAGTATATATTAATAAATGTATATTAAAAATGTATCCTTGATTTGTAAAATCTTTTGAAATATTATTAAATACTTAATATTATGAAACTAAAAAATCTTTAAAAAATCAAACTAACAATTGAAGGTCATGTAAAACGCATTTTCCAATCAGAGGCCATTAAAAAGGAGTAACTATTAAATTTTAAAAAATTATTCCACACTTTTCCAACCACAACAGCAAAACCACTTTCAGTCTTTTCCAATTATCGCTGCCATTTACACTCCTGATGAGTTTTCTCCGCCATAAAAACGAGGCCCCTAAAAATCAACTATCGAAGCCGACAATTATCGCCATCCATCAGCGAGAATCAATCTCAGCTAATCCTTTTGGCCCCAGCTAATCCCCAAACTTTGTGGCACACAGTGTGTCTGTGCGAAAGGCAACAAAAAAAGGCCGCTACTCATCAACGCAAAAAAAAAACACCCCAAAAAATATTTAACTGCAGCTGGAAAAAAAAAAGAAAAAAGAAGTTAAAAACTCCGGCGCCAAAATGCAAATAAAACAAGAAACGCAAGAAAACATAAAACGGCGCAAAGCGAATATAAAAGAATCTTTAAATTGCGCTTCTGCAACAGAAAGCAGAAAGTGAGGAGGGAGAGCTACCGAATACGCTGAAGAATCGGCTGGAGAATACGGCTGAAGAATCGCTTTGGAGCCGAGAAACGACGAACGAAGCAGATACAATTTTCATAGGCAATTAAAAAAAGTTCATTGGTTTTGATTTTATTTTCGGCTTCTCCATTCGCCATTCAGAAGCCAGGGCTCGAGGCAGTCGACTTTCAGAAGGATGAAAGACCAGAAGAATCCAGAGACCAGACACACATATATCCCCTCATCCTTCCATTAGCATGTAAAGTGTAAACTAATGGCTTTGATTCTGATTCTGAAGGAGAGCGAGAGAAGCAAATTAAAAGCAGCGTGGGAACCGAGTCGCTTCTGTCCCAGAAGTTTATTAAAAACGCAGAACGAACGCCCGGTCAACTTTGTCTTGGCAGTTGGAGTTCCTTGGAACTGGTCCTTCGGACTCCTGGACTCCTGGGCACTTCTGCACCCATGGCCCATAAGTAAGCCATACACGAAAACTCATTAACAATGACGCTCCAAAAACGCGACGGACCAAAAGTAGCCGGGGCTAC